AGAAGCAGCATCCCACCAGGGGCACGAGGATGATGAAGAGGAGCCCGATGGCCACGCAGACCAGGAAACCCAGTTCGTAGAGCAGCAGCTGGGAGAGGAAGAATGAGAGGCAGTGTAACACTGGTGCTCCTGAAGGCTCCCCAACATTGAGGGTCCTGTCCAGACTCCTCCAGGGCAGGATGGGTTCCCCCCAGGGGGTTGCACATCTCCCCTTGCTGTTGCCCAGCGCCTGGGGCTCAGCCTCAGAACAGCACGCACCAGCATCCCCCCAGCCCATGGTGGTCTGGCGCTGCCAGCTCCCTGCCCTGGCTGCCCACTCACCTCCTGGACTTTCTCCCCAATGACCTCCTCACTCTGGGTCTGCCCAAAATCCACGATCAGTTCTGGGGGACAAGGAGCGGAGAGGGCTGTGAGCAGGTGCTGGGCCCTGGGGGGCTCTCCAGGAGGGCCCCACACCCTGCTCACCCCAGAGAGGGGCTCCCAGCACCAGGCATCACCTCCAGGGCTGCGGCTCAGAGCGGCTGTGAGTGCGTGGCATGTTTCTCCCTTCCAGCTGTCCCTCCCCGGCCATCACATTGCACAGCCCTTTTGCAGCAGCGAAAAGCGCTGCCAGACCCCAGGCTCTCAGGGGTCCACGGAGCAAGGGGGTCCCCGCCCCAGCAGGCACCGTGCGCAGGCTCAGGGGAGGATGCTCTAACAACCACCTGAGCTGCCCTCCTGCAGCCCAGCCCCAGGCAGACGCCCTGTTGGCACTGACAGCATGGGGTGAGGCGCTGGGGCAAAGTACCCCCACCACGCTGCCTCTTTCATCCCCAGGGCTTATCCCGACCGTGGCCTCATTACAAGCCATGCTGGCACACGGTGCCATGTGATTGTACCCTGGTATCTGCACAACATGAACAAGGCCACAAAGCCACTGCATTTTTTGCCAGCCACGTGTTTGCCTGCAAGTTGCTGGCAAGCAGGGGCTGAACCCAGCAAAGGAGGAAACACAGGTCCCAGCAGCCAGAGCAGCAAACCCCACTCCAGGTGGGCAGCACTGGCCTTGCGGGCATCGAGCAGCCGCAAGGTCCTGGCATCACCCATGCGGACCTGCAGCCACTTCAAGGCCGATCCGTGCCAGCGACACATCCCCTCGGAGGTGAAGCGGGGAGGGCAAGTGCTGGCAAGCAGGACGGTGCACGGGGGGTGCCCGCAGTGCTGCTCTGCGGGCACTGGCACTGGGACATGCTGCTCTTGGTGGCCCCAAGCTGGCTCCTGCCTAAGCACACCTTGTCACCCACAAGCACAGAGGGCTGCAAGTCAGGCAAGGACCCCATAAACCCACAGGCACTGCGGGGTTTGCTCTGCACCTTTCACTGGGGCCTGGGATGAACATACCTGGAGAGTATCTGGAGGTCCTCAGGGACCCCACTCTGTTTCCCCCCCGCCATAGCCCTCCTAGCTCAGTACCCCAGCATTTAAATGCTGGATGAACAGTCACCAGTGAAGGAGGGTTCGGGCTCAACCGGGACCCTGCAGCTTCAAGGAGCCCCCCCGCACTCCACCGCCA